TCAGGGTTATGTCCGCGCCTGTATCCAGCTGGAGTTTGAGAGAGCGTCCTTTGATTACGACGTCGAGATAAGTTCGCGCACTCTCGGCATCGAAAGCGACCACGTTCTTGCACTGCCTTTTGCGACCAAAGCGTTTTGCACTTATCCTCCGTCGCTTCTTCCGGCCAGTGCTGGCAGACTGTGGGCAGTCTCTTCTGAAATGTGGTCCTCCACATGAGAAACAGTTTACCTTCTTCTTCCATACAGCATGGATGTCGCGTGTGCCTTCCATGTCTGTGTTATCCATTTTCAAAGCAGTGAAGTTCTCACAATCCGTGACTAGGTCCTCGATTGTCAACGGTGCTTCGTCCGTGTGCGCGTCCAGTCGACGAATCATCCGAAGGCGAAGTTCCCTGAGCGAGGGATCTTGAAGACCTGCTACGAACTGCAGCGTCTTCATCGCCGTGTAATCGACCTCCTTAAGCCGGGCGTCCTCGTCCATCCGCTTGATAGTATTGGCGTACTCCCGGAACGGTACGTACGCTGGCGTAAGCGGAGGGCACGTTATCCTTAGGCACTCATAACGTCTTCTGATGAGCGTCTTCTTAGAGGCGAACAGCTTCTGGAGATTCGCGACGGTAGTATCGAAGTCCAAGTCGCTTGGCTGCGCTGGCAGAACCTCATCGGCATACTTCCTGTATGCTTCTTCATCCAGCTTCATCAGAATCAAGTCGCGCTTCTTCTGATCCGGAAGCTGGGACTCGCGAATGACCGGTCCATACCTGCCATACCAGTAAGCAAATGTGTTACCTGTTTCTTCGTCTGCGGTAAATCTCTGCACGTCCTTGCTCAGCTGGTCATATTGATCCTTACTGGCGTCCTGGACGGCTATCCTTTGGTTACTGCAAAGCAGTGACCAACGTCTTCATCTGCTCCTGTTGTGCTTGCCATTGCATTTGCATTTGCTCCTGTTGAGCTTGCAACTGCACTTGCATTTGCTCTTGTTGAGCTTGTAGACGAGCCTGCATTTGTTCCTGTTGAAGCTGCATATGCAGCTTCATCTCCTCCTGTTGGAGCCGCATCTGGTCGACCATGACTGATAGGACCTTCTCCAAGGAGTCGTGACCATGCCGTTCTTCACTGGCTTTCGGCATGGTGGACCTCTCTTGTTTAGCTGTCCTCGACCTGTGACAGCTTCCTCCCCGATCCGAGCTGCAGCAATTCTTCTCGTTCTTGATGGATAGAGGCTTCTGGCCCTTGGTCGGTGAAGCTTCTTCTTTTCCTTGGTCGGTGGAGGCTTCTTGTTCTTGATCGATGGAGGCTTCTGGTCCTTGGTCGGTGGAGGCTTCTTGTCCTTGATCCTGATCGCCAGTTGTAGTGGAACGCGTTGAGTCATTGACAATTTATTAGAAAAACACAAGAGTTCCCCCTCTGCCTATCGGCGTACATGCCGAGGGTTCACTGGGAATAACTAGAGAACAACACACACACATATGTCAAGGTGCGGCGGGTACGCCGCAATCAGAGAGACCATATCGACCTAGCCTATAGTGAGTGAGCAAGTTCCAATATAAGGGACGGCTCTACAGTTAACGAGAGCACTGATTTTCACTAATGAATTAGAGTACGTGCAATGTGTGAAGTGTTGTGCAATTGCATGAAATCGCGTTGGAGGTATGCACGCCTCCGGCGACTAAGCGACTCAGTCGCCACGTCTCAGTCGCCACTTTCGTGCAAGTCGTCGCGATTGGAGATCGCGCGACTTCGTCGCGTGAGCTCTGCCCAGGGCCTTCGGGTCCGCAGGTATTGCGACTTCGTCATGCAGTGGAGCCTATACACCGTCGTGATATTGTTCCCACATTGATTATGGATTGTGACTCACATGGCTTGTCTACAATAAAATGTTCGACCATGTATGATTGAGAACCATGGATAGCTCACGAGCACAGCGAATTGCATAGGAACTTTTCCATACGCATTAATGGAGTTAATCACGCAACGTTGCAGCCTTGAAACGCCGCCGTAGCGATTAGTCCGTCGCGACGGGCTAGTTCGTCGCGAATCGATTTCTCGCTTCACTTGCGCGCTATCTGTCTCATTGTGTTCTGTTGCATTTCAATCGCTCTTGTTTCATCGATCAAATCATACTAGTGCTTTGTTGGAAATGAATTTCGGTGCATCGATAGGGTCGAACACTAACTTTGCACTTAGCTTGCGATGAAACTATATTTTTGTGGATGTAATCAAAATCTGAATGGACTCTACAAACTTCTGATTGCTTGATGATCGTAGCACTTCTTATATTTTCTCGATTTTGGTAGTATCTCATAGCACATGTAAGCTCGAAGTAATTCACTCATTTATGCCGGCTGAGTTCCTTGAGTTCTAACGGGAAATGAGCGATGCGCACAATTTCAAAAAACTTTTTCCGCTTATCCTAGGATTTATACATTGGTCAGCTGAAGTGATGTTCTTCTTGCTCATGTTTTATCTCGAGCTTTTGAACCCCTAATCTCATTGCCAATCGTCCCAACTGAATTTCTCTTTATGTTCCTCTCTGATAATTGATGGATTCATTTTTCAAACATTCCAAACTTGAGTTCTGTAGGAGAATTTTTACAAAAAAAATAGCTTCTATGCTTCGTATCACTTGGAATTTTTTGGGATCCTCCAATTTGCTTATAGTGTTCATATCATAAGAGAAATTGTGCTCAAGAAGTCTATTTCGACGTGAATTCAAAGGAGGGTCACAAGTCGAAGTGACCGATCACCGCAGAATGCATATCATAGGTGAGCGCTTGAAACGCTGATTCCAAATCTGCTTTCACTATCTGCACAGCGCTTCTGGAAAAGAAGTTGTGAGCATAATCTGGAATGAAAAAATGAACTAAGGGCTGACACAAAAGCAAACATCACAGCCTTTCTGAATCCTAATGGCAGCAATGGCAAGTGTTAGGAGTATTCCCTACAATGCATTCTTCGCTTGGTAAATCATCATTAAGTATTGCTCTATTAAACGTCAGTTCATTTTTTCGCTCCAAAAAAGGCCCAAACTTCTTTCCCAAAGGCGCTCTGCCGATAAAAATGCAGATTTGGAATTAGCATTCCGAGCTCCCACCAACAGTTTGCACATTGTAATGATTGGCCACTTCGACTTGACCCTCCCTCAAAAATGAGACAATTTTGATTTTATTATTTTTTGTGTCTGCGATTTTACTATCACTATGCTCATTTAATATCCAATTTGTTTTGATCTGCGATATACGATAAAAGCGTCGACCATACATACACTTCCACTCCGAAGGTATTTTTACGCGTCTCTCTAATGAGAAATATTAGGTTGAACCGGAAGTTCTTTAGCATCAAATTCAAAAATTCATAACTTCTGAATTTTCCAACCGATTGGACCGCTCTTATTTTTTATGAAAAGTTAGTCATGCCCTTTACAACGACATCTTAGATGCTTGCTAATAATCATCTGTTGCATAGATAGGAGCTGTAGAAGAAAATTAGTCAGAATTCGAATTTTCTGTGTAGGGTCAACAAAAATCGGAGCAGTCGATATCGTAGGCTGTTTCACAAGCTCTCTCTAACAGTGCAAAGTTTGCGCCGATTGAGCGTTTCTATGAAAATCACGATTTTCGAGCAAGCAATACAAAAGGGCGAATTTGATTCATTTTGGCATTTTCAATAAAATCATAACTTTTCATAGAGACGCTCAATCGGCGCAAACTTTGCACTGTTAGAAAGAGCTTGTGAAACAACCTACAATATCGACTGCTCCGATTTTTGTTGCAAGTTTTCGATTTTTTGTGACCCTACATAGGAAATTCGAATTTTGACTAATTTTCTCATATTTACCATTCTTAGCCTGCCCTGGACTACTCCAGTTGTACGCAAGGAAACCTAATTTTAGCGTGACATAAGTTGCTTGAAATCGTCCTTATTTGAAGCGAAGTCTTGATCAGTTTGTTTCAATCGAGAAACTGTATTTAACGATTGAGTTCTGTCTATGCATAACTTGTTTACTTGAATTATACTAGTGGCTGAGGAGAGCGGGCTACTACTGCTAGTAACCTTCCGTACTAGTATTGTTGGTAATTTTTCAGTCGCGTAAGCGTCTATTTGCCTTAAGAGTTTTCTTTCCAAAATTGGCCGTATTATAATACGTGAGTATTTTGTGAAAGACGCGAACAGAAGTAGATTCACGCGACGGTTGCGTGAGTTATGTGACGATCGCCTGGTTCATGTGACATCACCGTCGCGTAGCCATATCTCACTTCAAAGTGGAAGAATTGAATCCAAAGACACTATTCGACTCAGCTCGGCGCGGAGCATCTTACGTTATTGGAAGTGGTGGTATGGTAGGTATGCTGTAGAAGGTCAATTAGCACGAATATGCCTGAATCCCTACATAGAGGGCTTACTCGATATGCTTAGTACAGAAATGATAGTTACTAGATGGCTTACCCGGCTCTGCCCGGCACTATCAATGCTATGATTAAGGTCTTACCCCTATCCCTGTAGAACTTTTCCCTGTGCCTAATTCTACATGACAATTCCCTATTCCCGCTGTGTTAGTAATCAGCATGCTCACTTACGCTTCCCCCCACCCCCGCAATAAATAAATATTATCTCTGGAATGAGTATATCGAGTAAGCCCTCTCTGCTGACTTTCAGTGGTATTCGTATAAATTGACTTTCAACCGTATACCTATCGTGCCCCCAATTCCAATAATCGAAAATGCTCTGTGTCGAGCTGGGTATGGTGTCCTCGAATTTGGATTTGGTCCACGCTGAAGCGAGATATGGCCATGCGACGGTGATGTCACATAAATCAGGCAACCGTCACATAACTCATGCAACCGTCGCGTAGGTTATATGACCGTCGCCCGACTCACGCGACCTCGCGTGAGTCTGCTTCGATTTGCGTCTTTTTTTTCTTTCGAAAAATACGAGGGGTATTGTACTTCTCAAACTCCACCTGGAACTTCGCCTACCACATATTGAGGACTTTTTGCAGAACAGCCAAAATCAAGATGTATGAGACAAAGCCCTCCACGATGACTGGAGAGGAGACATCGAATGAATATGTGGATTTCGACACCTCTGATGAGATAGAAACGAAGAGTGGTATTGTGGCTGGTGATACGGATAGTGAAGTGATAAGGAGGCTGACGTCAATAGAAACAAAACTAGCCGTGATGGAAGAGGTAGCCATCAACATCGTAATTAGCCAAATATTTGTGATATGGTTAAGTATTTTAGAGATTGAGCAGCGTAGAGCATATAGAAGAGATGCTTTCTGAAATTCTGCGTCGACTTCCTGCGACGGATACGGGTAAGATTCTAGCAACCAAACGTTGGAAAAAGTCATAGTTTATTTCTGTTCAGGTGAAATTAGCTACACCCACACAAGTCCTGAATTTGTGGCACAGCTGAGGACATTGAAAGGTTCTAACGTCACACAGTTTGCGTTAGATCTAGAAGCAGAAATTTATAAGGACGATGCTACGGAGTTGGACTTGCCTTTAGAGAGACGTTTGAAAACGAAGGATAAAGTGATATTCTTGAGACAGGTATGCTTTAACATAGTCACAATTCTTACTGCTATTTTCCCCTAGGATACTCGACTAAGTCAGATTTTTATTTTTTAATTTTTTAGTGTGTCAACGAGTACTATTCGGTCCCTCAACATCTTAAGGAAGCAACATGGAAGCGGGTGCGTGAAGCTTTGGATAGCAGAGTGCGAAGACTTCGCAAGAGAGTCCGAGATGTACAAGGCAACCCTTCTTCACAACCAAACCTCGATGGACTCAACTTTTAGTTGCAATGTTACGGTCATTTCCTAGAAGTGTCATGGACGTTTGAAAATTATTTGTGTACATGATAGGGTTGCTGAGAATGAAGTTTTCTCATAATTCAACCTATAGTTTTAGATCAAAAATTGACGTTCAAACATGTTGAGAAGTATCTCATGGTCTTATCAATTCAATGGCGTTACTTATCATTCTCTTGTTGAAAATGTGCTATGTTGAAGCAGATATGTATCGTCGATTCGTTGAGCGCACGGACTGCTCAAGCGCTGCGGACCACGAGCGGGGCGCCTGAAACGCTGCGAGAGCACGACTTGTACAATAGCGAATTTGCATTGGGGCAAAAGTCTACTTCGCGGCACGTGCTCCAGTGATGTCCAGTCCATGCGGTCAACGGCGACTATAGGAACATGTAAATAAGGAAGAAAAATTTTATTGAACCAATCTACGTAGTTAAGACTGTATAATACTGCCCGTAATGTGAAAAAAAAACACACACACACATAGTCGCCTAATTCATGTGAAATCACCGTAGCGTGGCCATATCTCGCTTCAAAGTGGACGAATCCTTAATCCAATGGCACCTTTCGACTCAGCTCTATGCGGCGCATCTTCTGATATATGGAAGGGCCATCTAGACACAGTAGGAGGCCAGATCCTAGGAATCGTTTCAGATTTTTGCTTACGGTAGGTTACATAGTGTGCTTATCTATAACACTCACTGGGCAACCTACCGTAAGCAGAAATCTGAAAGATTCATGGAATCTGGCCTCCTACTGTGTCAAACGGGCACTTCCATTTATCAGAAGATGCGCCGCGCCGAGCTGAGTCGAAAGGAATCCTTGAATTAAGAATTCGTCCACTCTGAAGCGGGATATGGCTACGTTACGGTAACGTCATAGAAATCGGGAAACTTTACGTCCTTTTTCCACAAAAATTACGACGCTATTGTGTCAGAGATTATGAGATACCTTGCGCTATTTTTTCTTGCATATTTGTCGTCGTTTACGCCTCGTTTTGATGCATATAAACAATATTTGGCTGAGCGAAGTTCCCGTATTCCCTTGGATCTCATTGATAAAATTATGGTGTTACACCTATTCAGATGGATTTCTGTTGACTAATCCGACCAGAATTTTGAATCTTTGATGAGTGTATAGTCGAGTAGATTTGTCGATAAATATTTTTGCGTTGTCGGGATTTTGCGGTCAAATTTGGGTTGAAAAATAGCTACGCTTGAAATGTCCACATTTTCCACACGCAGATGGTCGTTACAAGCGGTGCTATTTGTTCCACGCACACTCTTACAGTTCAGTCTTGGTAACGGACGCTATAATTACCGACAAATATACTCGACTGTATAGGCGATTCATCGCACGCAGAAACAGGGCGCTCCCCCCCCCTACGGATGCTGTTTGCGTCTCTCACATTAAACGCTCTTTCTCCCGAATACGCACCATCTTGATTAGACGAAACGGAGTCCATTCTCTGCTTGCGATGAACTTTGCCTAGCGCTATTCCAGTATACCGACCCCAAAAATTAAAAATCTCGGATTTCGCTCAAACTCGGTATAGAGGGGTTATTCGATCCGCTGATGCCAAATATCATATCGATTCCATGCGATAGCGCCATTTTCCGGGGGCTACGGTGGGTATACGGCAGGGGGTTAAAATCACAAAATTCTCTGAAACTCGGTAAGAGGGGGTTATCCGACATGCTGAACACGAATACGATATTCATTCGTTACGGTAGCTCCTCATTCCGTGATTATTGTGGGTATACGGTAAGGGGTCAAAATCACGATATCCTCTGAAACTTCGTGTAAGGGGGTTATTTGACATGCTGATCACGATTATGATGTTTATTAGTTACGATAGTGCCTCATTCCGACGTTACGTTGGGTATACATTACCAATACCACCGCTTGATCGAGATTCAGGGCTTGAAATCTCAGTCACACGTCGGAAATTTCCTCCCCCTGCTTTGCTTAGGCAAAAGCCGCCGCAGAGTGTATCGCGCGCGGCGGTGGGTGTGGAAAGCAGTGAATAGACCCTCCTACAGTATATCCACCGTAACCCCGGAATGGGGTGCTACCGTAACGTGTATGCAATGGTAGAATATCGGAGGTCTATGCTCAAAATGCTTCCTACAACTTTCTTTTATTATCAAAATCACCTAGATTGCACAGATTATGCTCAGCCCAAATTGCATGAGGTTATGTTTTATCTCATCTAGAATAGTAAACTCAATTATATACATGTGAACAATTCCGGTATGCAAGTCACAAATGATAAACAACTCAACATCATGTTTAAAACACTTCACATCGTCAAAAACGACATACAGACCTTGTAAAACCTAACTGCCCGCCCCATGCCCAGAACACCAGCGTAAGCGAGCGGTCGAAGGACTGGCGTCCCATCTTTTGAAAAATTTTCCATTAACTCGTATTGCTCTCAACACTGCAAAGTACCTTCCAACGAAAGCTTAGCTGAAAAGTCTAAAAAATGTGTGGAAGGGATGCGCGTTTGTTGTCGCTTCTAACAACCGTGTAGCGCTACGGGACCCAACGTTTTTAGTCGCCCTGCACGTTGGTGTTTCTAGTTAAGCGTGTCGATTGATCTTACAAGGCCTGTAACTCTTTATTTCTTCCACGATTATTCGCATTCACGATCCACTGCTGTCAGGTTCTGAAGTGTAGCATATAACATTTGATTCAACTGGCTTGGCACCATTAGGGCGGGATTTTGTGGACTAATTGAGGCCGCTCGCGCCCGCGACGCACCTGCGTCTCTCTCGCGCGAGTGCTCTCTGATCATTACCTAGCCTTAATTAGGTCACGAAGCCCCGCCTTTGCCGATGCCAAGCCAGTTGAATCAAATGGTAGTTCGATTGTCTGTCCGACCAGTCGCAGGGATAGGAACCGTCAACAAATCATAAACGGCTCATAATTCGTGAAAAAATGCGGCAGCCAGAGTTCGCCGAACTTCGCGTCGCTCGCCATATTTGTCAGGTTATGAGTGAACTTGTTCCGACAAGTGCACTGCTGAACTCAGCTCGACGAGGCGCATTTTTTCGATAAATAGGAGTGCCTACTTCTGTGCTGTAACACGTAGGCAGTCAGATTTCACTAATCTTTTCAGAATTTTGCTCGCGATAGGTACTTAGTGTGCTGATTTTCTAAAAATGGCTTACCGCTGTAAGAGAAATTTTGAAAATGTTTGTGAAGAATGAATAGCTATCATAGATCTAGCAAACCTTGTATACATCACATGCGCCGCACCGAGCCGAGTCAACTGGTGCCCTTCAATTCAAAATTTGTTCGCTCCGAAGCGGGATACGGCGATGCAACGCCATTGTCGCCTGACTCAGGCGACCAACGCGCACTTTTTGCACAAATAGTGGGCGGCAATGCAGTGCGTTGCAAATCGATTTCAATCTCCCGCGCTGTTTGGTTCGCATTCTATGCAACTCGTTTCTTCTTCGCTCATGCATCAAATCTCATACTAGTAGTGCATTAGCAGTAAGTTTCTGTGCATCTGTGCATTGAAAGGATAATAACTGTATGCTTCATTGCTTTCATTCTCCTTCTTTTCCTTCAATCTAGAGCTTATAATGTCGCTCTTTTTTGTGAAAAAAAAGGCGCGAATTGAAGTAGACTCACGCGAGGTCGCGTAACTTACGCGACCACCGCCAACTCACGCAATCTCGTTTGAGTCTACTTAGATTCGCATCTTTTTCTCATAAAATACGAGCGGTATCATTTAATGTTTAACTTCAATTTAGTGAAAACCATACGTTTGTAAACTGGATCAGTACTTTCCTAAAACTCGGCTGATTTTAGTGAACGAAATTGGTGGCAATTGGATCAATGTTCTTGTTCTTTTTTCCTCCATTTGTATCTACTTTGTGGTCGAGATACACATTTATAGCATGGTCGTCGAGATAAGCTAACAAATTAGGAAGGAGACAGATGGCTTTGCTCGCTCATGACCCACTTATTAGCAGATTCTGGACTATAGGTCATAGTTCGGGATTCCAGCAGTGCGTCCTTCATGCATAGGAGTGTCCTTAACCAATAAGCCATAAAAAGATTCAATATACTGCTCATGATTTATGGTGAAAAAGACCGCGGCGAGCGCCGGAGTTCGCCGAACTTCGCGTCGCATCGCCATTCACTTCAGATTATGAGTGGACTGGTTCCGACAAGGGCGCCAGTCTACTCAGCTCGACGGGGCTCATTCTTCAGCATGTAGGAATACCTATTTGGCTGCGATAGGTGCATGGTATGCAGTCAGATTTGACTAATCTTTGCAGGCTTCTGCTAATCTACTTGTTTTGCCGTAATCTGCTTCTGTTGTAGGCGGAAATCTGAAAAAATTCGTGAGATATGACCATCTACCATAGATTTAACTGACCTTGTACATGTCAGAAGATGCGCCGTGCCAGGCCGAGTTGAATGGCGCCCTCGGATTCAGTTTTGTTCACTGCGAAGCGAAATATGGCGATGCCACGCTATTGTCGCCTGAGTCAGGCGACCGACGCGCACTTTTTGCAGAAATAATGAGAGGCATTGTAGTGCGTGACGTATCGATTTCCCTCTCCCGTGCGGTTTAGTTCGTCGCATTCTACTGCACTTCGATCTTTTTTGCCCGTGGACCGATTTTTTTTCGTATTAATGCTGTGAATTGAGTTTCTGTGCAATAAAAAGATCAGAAACTGATTTTGCATTCAGCTCTGTAAGTTGTTCTCCGAGATCTTTGTTTGCCGATAGAAAGTTAAAAGATCTTTCTCCATGTTGATGATTCTGTTTATGCAAACTCATTTACCTAACTCATTCTCTATACTGACTAGAGTCTATCCGAATATGTTCATCCTATCATTACTGGTGCTGTACATGGTGACAACACTCCAAGCAGTGACTCTGGTTTCAAGAAAAAAAAAACGATTTTCATGCTCCAATGTCTTCAATCCTCTTTTTTCAGCTGCAGATCTCTAGAGCCTATACGTTGGTATTTAAGTGTGATTTAGTGAAAGCATACCTTTCTCTTTCTCTAATTGGATCAGAGGTCCTTTTAGTCCAAATTGACTGTTCTTAGCGAACGAAATTGACTACAATCGGATTACATTTTTTGCTCTTTTTCTCCTAGTTATGCTAGTTTTGCTTAGTGGGATATTAGTAGCAAATCAAGTCGAAGTAAAAAAAAAACAAATGAGAAAAAGTGCGGTTGCCTCTGTATTGGGTTGTCTCATGAGTAAACCTCTTTCGTGAATGAATCAAACGGTGTTTTTCTAGCAAACTTAGCGTACTAACTTAGCGTATTATTCGATAGAGCAAAGCCACCTCGACAACTGCCGCCAAAGATAATATCAAGAAATGCTTCTGCAGGATTTTTTTTTCACGGCACAAGAACACGAAAAAATCAACCTGAGAATACAAACATGTCACTTATTTCGTGTTCAAAATGCTAAGCTGGGTATCGTCGTCATTTTAAAATACATTGGGCGGAGGTTGCGGACGTGCACCTACAGGTGTGATTCTGAAAATATCTAAGGCTTGCTTTATTCAGACACATGTGCGGGCCGGGGAGGGGGCAGGACTGGGGTGGAGTTTGCCATTTTTGGACTAACTTTTTCAGAAAGACTTCTTTGCGCAGCAGTTTAGCAAATGCATTTATGGATACTTCTATGTATCGAACAACCTCTTAAGTCTAAAAAAACAAAAACACTCTTTATTTGTAAAGGAGTTTTACTACTGTGACAACTCAATATTTAAAATAACGCCCGTTTTTTGTGAAAAAAAAGACGTGCATCGAAGTAGATTCACGCGAGGTCGCGTGAGTCGGGTGACGATCGCGTAGGTCACGCGACGGTGTGAGTGATGTGACGGTCGCCTGATTCAGTGACATCACAGTCGCGTGGCCATATCTCGCTTCAGAGTGGACGAATTCTGAATTCAAGGGCACCATTTGACTCAGATTAGAGCGGAGCATCTTCTGATACATAGAAGTGCCCGCTTGGACACAAGGAGGCAGAATTCATGATAGTTTCAGATTTTTGACGGTAGGTTGCCCATTGAGTGCAATGAATATGCACACTGGGTAACCTACCATAAACAAAATCTGGAACGATTTGTGGAATCTGACCTCCTCCTGTGTCCAAGCGGGCACTTCTCTATATCGAGTGTGCCGCGGAACTGAGTCGAATGGTGTCCTTGTATTGAGATCGTTCACTCCGAAGCGAGATACGGCCACGTTACGGTGATGTCACATGAATTGGGCGACCGTCACATAACTCACGCAACCGTCGCGTGACTTACGCAACCATCGCCCGACTCACGCGACCTCCCGTGAGTCTACTTCAATGCGCGTCTTTTTTTTTTCACAAAATGCAAGCGTCATTGATATCAAAAGGTGCGGCGTGCCAAGCGGAGTTGAATGGTGCGCTTGGTTCCACATTTGTTCACTCCGAAGCGATATATGGCGATGCGACGCTAAGGCCACCTGACTCAGGCGACGAGCGCGCACTTTTTGCACAAATTGGGCGACGTCACAGTGCGTTGTGAATCGATTTCTCCCTTCCGCGCTGTTTGGTGTCGCATTCTTTTGCATTTCGATCCTTTTTCGCCCGTGAATCAAATCTCAACTATGGCTACATTAGCAGTAAGTTTTTGTGCATTGAAAGAATGAAAGACATCGTTTTTGTATCTAGCTTCATTAAGAAACTGATCCTCTCTAATTTTTCCCCAAAAGCTTAAAAAATCTTTTTTTGATGATTCCATAGAGACTGAAATTTCACTGCATATGCAAACTCAATGTAATGTATTCCCTGTATTCCTTGGTACCGATTGCTTATTTGCATTTGTTCATTCGGTCATCAGTTATACTGCACATAATGACTATTCTTAGTAGGAACCTCTATTTTAGAAAAAAACGGCTGTTATGCTTCAATGCCTCTATTTTTCTTGTTTCTTATCTTCAAATCTTTAGAGCTTAGTTGATGTAATTTATCTCTCTGTATTTGTATCGGCGAGATTCTGGATTTGGTCATTTTTCATCCCTGATGCTGAATATAGAGGCACATACGAAGCAGTGACTTCTGGTCAAGGAAAAAACTGCTTTTTTCAAAACATGCTTCTTTTTTCACCTGCAGATCTCTAGAGCCTTCTTAGTATTTAACTTTAATTTGGTAAAAGCATACCTTTCTTTGATCGGATTATAGACCCCTTTCTAATCCACTTTGGCCCTCCTGTGAATGATAGTAATTTTGTAAATTATGCTTTGCTTTATCCAGTACCTTAGTCTCCCAGGAAAACGAAAATAGTCCGGTATTTTTGAAAGTTTCACTTTTGGACTATCACATACTTATATATCGTCTGCTTGCAGTGGCGTACCCAGGATTTCGTTCGGGGGTGGGGGGCGACAAAAAAATTTTTCGGAAATAATTTTTGGGATCTTTACCATTTTTGCGGGTTCCTGACCCCAAAATTTTAGAAAAACGGGGCGTGGCCGCAGCCATGCCCCATTTTTCTGAAATTTTCGAAAAGATTTTTCAAAAGGCTAATTTGCATTTTTAAGAATTTTAGGAAATGATTTTAGTATTTTACAAGTAAAAACAAATCGCTTGCACACCTTTATAGCACATTTAAGTAACTTTCAAAAATTTCGCGATCCATTCTCGGGGGAGAGGGGAGGGGGGGGGGGGTGCCCCCCTCCCCTCCCCTCCCCTCTCCCCCTCAGACGCCACTATTGGCTTGCAAACGCCAAGCTATTTGTCATAGCCAATAGGCAGTAGCGGTCGCAGGATTTCGGACCGGGGGGGGGGGGGCGGAAAGAAATGTTTTCAAATGAAGGTGCGTGGCGTTGGCCACGCACTCCGAAAAAATTTTGGGGGTACTTCTCAAAGTTTTTGCGGGTCCGTAACCCCTAAAATCTGGAAAAAGGGGGCGTGACGTCAGCCACGCCCCCGAAAAAAATTTTTTATAAGGCTAATTTGAATTTTTAAAAAATTTTAAAAATTATTTTAATTATTTACAAAAATAAACAAGTCGTTTGCACACTTTTATAGCCCATATAGGTAAGTTTCAAAAATTTCGCGACTTATTCTCGGGGGGGGGGGTGGGGCGCGCGCCCCCCGCCCCCCCCCCCTCGGACCGCCACTGCCAATAGGCTCCATTTTGAAGGGAAATCAGTGTAGGTGCTTCATTGACAGCTAGGTAACACTGGTAATTGCGGTAATACGTGGCCCATCCTTTAAGAATGTGATAGTACGCATGAGGTCAAAAATCTGACAACAACGTTCTTTCTTCAAAAAAAAAAATCGGCCGTCGTGGATTGATGTAACAAAAAACTTTTTTTGACAAAGTAAATATGATCTTTTGCAGTATTCAGTTGGAAAAAGAATGTTTGAGACAAAGCCATCCACTATGAATGCAGAAAATACGACTAACGAATATGTGGATTTTGACACCTCTGATGAGACAGAAACGAAAACTGGTATTGTGGCTGATGATACGGGCAGTGAAGTGATAAGAAGGCTGACGACAATTGAAACAAAACTAGCCGTTATCGAAGAGGTAAAGACTCCATTTTAGTTAGCCGAACTTTCTATGATAAGTCTATTTACTTTAGAGGTTGAGCCGCGTAGAGAATATAGAAGAGATGCTGACTGAAATTCTGAGTCGACTTCCTGAAACAGAAACAGGTAAATTTTTCTGCAGACAAACAATTTGGAAGAAGCTGCGAACCAATCTATTAAGGCAGAATCTGCTACACTCATACAACTCCTGAATTTGTGGCAGAGCTGAGGACATTGAAGGGCGCTAACGTCACACAATTCGCCTTAGATTTAGAAGCAGAAATATATAAGAGCGATTCTTTGGAGTTGGACTTGCCTGTAGGAAGACGTAAGAAAACAAAGGATAGAGTGCTTTTTTTGAAGCAGGTATGGACTTTCATAGTCACAATTTCTTACTGCTTATCTTCCCTATCGTATTCGTCTGAGTCAGAAAAATTCCAGTGTGTCAACGAATACTACTCGGTTCCGCCACATCTGAAGAAAGCAACATGGAACAAGGTCCGTGAATCATTGGATAGTAGAGTGCGAAGACGCAAGAGACTTCAGAACGTGTAATACAACCCTTCTCACCTTCTCAATGGATTTATTATTTGTTGTTTCTTGTTGTTGTCAGTTCAAAAGTACTCGTGTAGATCATAAGTTTCCGAAGAATGAAGTCTTAAAGCCATAAAAGAGCTAATTGAGCATAGAAATGCTGATCATAGAGAAGTGAAACGAAATAGGTATAGGCTGTTGCATGACGAAGGCGCAATATCTTCGGGGGCGAACGCGGTTTTATTGGCTACGGAGCGCATAAGGCGCAGGATCTACCACGGTGAAGGCACGCGCGCGTCGCTTTCGCGCCCGCTCAACCAATATTGCTTCTGCGCCTTCGTCCTGCAGCAGCCTTTAGCAGACAGTGGCGGACCAGGGGGGGGGGTTTAAAAATATGCAAATGACTTGTTTATTATTGCAAATAATTGAAATAACTTTTAAAATTTTTTAGAAATTCAAATTAGCCTTGCAAAGAATTTTTTCGGGGGGGGGGGGGGGGGGAAGGGGCATGACGCCCCCCTTTTCTAGATTTCAGGGGTCTTGGACCCGAAAAATTTTTAAGAAGCACCCCAAAAATTTTCCAGAGTGCGTGGCTGACGCCACGCACCTTCATTTGAAAATTTTTTTCCACCCCCCCCCCCGGACGGAAATCCTGAGACCGCCACTGGTAGCAGATCATTATATAATTCACAGGAATAAGGACGCGATTTTATCATATTTTATCTGCACATTAGCAAGCTGCTTGAAGGCATTGTCCAGGTCAACTGGTATTGCGGTCTTCACACACTGTGAAATCACGGCTCCTGACTAATGCAACAGTTCAAGTCCGATCGAAAAAGGTGGAATCTGAACTGAGAAAATTGCTTCGGAAAAAAAGGGCGATGCTCCAATCCCGCCTCCTTGGCTAATTTTGACGTGGCGAATGCTCTAAATCTGCTGAATTGGCCACGTCAAAACTTGTCAAGGGGGCCGGATCGGGATACCGCCCCTTTTTTCTGAAGCAATTTTCTCAATTCAGATTCCACCTTCTTCGATCGGACTTGAACTGTTGCGTTAGCCAGGAGCCTTGCTCATGTGTGAAGATCGCGATACCCCTGCTGACCTGGGCAATGCCTTCAACTAATTTTGGCGAATAGACTTACACAGACAGCAGAACGGAATATAATAATGAGGCTTAGCATTTTTAGCGCACAACTCGTTGAATTTATCAGAACCGTGGTACCATTCTGCCTTTCTAAATATTTACAACATTGTAAAATTAGATGATCATTGGTGCAAATCGGCAATAGATACCGTCAGTGCGTAATTTGGTTGCAGTCTGGGTCAACAATGTGCTCCTTTTCCGATCAGCTCAAGCGCAACGTAAGAGCACCGTGCCGCGTTTGCGGGCATACCGCGTGAGCGTTCAGAGATCGCTCAGAGATCGCTGACAATGCTTGCGCTCTGCGAATGCGTGGTTGCTGTAGAAAAAGAAGCACGTGGTTGAACAGATTGCGCAGCTTTATGAAGCCCACTATTGGAAGGTTCTTTTGAGGTGGCCGAATACAGTAAGCCGCTCTTTGTCGTGTTTTCAAGGAATAACGATTACCCTAATTTCACGCGTACAAGGCGCGGGGTGGTCCTAGCTTTCATCGAGCTGCTCAGCCGCCCCAACGTGTTTTAAGAAGCGATCCTTATGCCGCACGATTCGTCAGGCAAAACGCAGCACAGTATGGGGTTCCTTTGGTTGCGAAGTCCTTTGCCGTGTTCGGGCTGGTCGATGAAAGCTAGAACCACCCCGCGCCTTGTACGCGTGAAACTAGGGTAAAAAACGCTCATCTGAAAAAAAAAATCTGAGATTAGCGAAGACCCATGTCGATTCCGCGTGCGGGCAGGGTTGTGCCGAAGACTGGGCCCATAATCCGTTGAAATCGTCAAAAATCTATTCTTATTTGGAAACGGCGCCAAAAAGAGACAGTTGACCAAAAACTCAGTTTTTTCTAGCCTACTCATTGAACTGAGCAGATTTTTGCTTAGAGTAGCGCGCAATAGTCATTGTCTTCGTAGCAAGTGCCAAGTTATAAGCAACCCAGCTATTCTAGAAATGCATTTTTCTTCATTTGTAAGGTTTTCCGCTAAAATCACCGATTTCTTATGGTAGAGCAGGTGGATATTGAGCATCGCTAGGTAAGGGTGCCTTCATACCGCGCCGGCAGCCGCCGCTGGCAGCCCGTGGCAGCCCGTAGCCGCCGCTGGCAGCCCGTAGCAGCCGCCAACAGCTCGCATCAGCCCACAGCAGCCGCCAGCAGCCCGTGGCGGCCCGTAGCCGCCGCTGGCCGCTTTTGTCATACAAGCGCAAAATCATCAAATTCTTACAATTTTAAGTGCAACCGCCTACACACTCCATCCTCCACGCTTAATCCTTCCTGTTGCCGCAGTTTGATCTCATTCAACATACTTTGTTCGTTGTTGTTATTATCTTGTTACCGTAGATTGGTTATCCTATCGATGCTCAGTTTCCCTCCTCAATTGAACCATATTTCGCCAAAGTTTCTTCGCAATGTGATTTCTTCTGACTTTGGATGCGTCCAGTTCCTGCAGACTGCTATTTGTTGATTTTTTTAGGTATGTTCTGCTTCAGTCATATCACATCGGCGTGGAAGATGGAAAGTATGGGCAGGTGCAGGCAAAGGACTGAGAATTTGATGATTTGCGCTTCAATGACAAAGGCGGCCAGCGGCTGCTACGGGCTGCTGGCGGCTGCTGGCGGCTGCTGGCGGCTGCTGCGGGCTGCTACGGGCTGCCAGCGGCGGCTGCCGGCGCGGTATGAAGGCACCCTAAGTTTCATTTCTATAATTTTGGAGTAGCAGAGAAGCAGGTGCACGCTAGAGGGAATGGGGAGGGAGGGGGGAGGGGAGGTAACGCCCATTTTCGGAGGGACCGCAACTGTATCCGCTGGTTCGCCATGTCAAAAGAAGACGCCGCCTCACTTAAAGGCAGCAGCTCGCCAAACCGAACATCCCAAAATTATGGCATGGAAGGTTGCTTGCACCCCCAAACATGAGAACAGAGCAGGTCCGAGCGCACAGCATGCTGCCCTTGCCTAGAAAACTGCGTTACGCGCAAGCCATTCTAGTCGCGCTGACGAGCTTGCGATTCTCCCTGACCCATCAGAGAAGACATGCCGCAATATTATAACTGCGAAGGTTCCGCAACGATTCTGCCTCTTTAACCATGGCGGGACGCGCTCCACTCGTCCAAATTCAAAATGGGAGGCCTTGAAAAATGGTGGTTTTTTGCCATTTTCGCGCTTTTTGAAGTAGATTTCGGAATCAGCGCCTCGAATTACCTCAGGTAAGCAAAAAAACTTGAAGTCGAGAATTCGCCAAGTCCCTGCCTTCAACGCGGAACCTTTCATGATGCGTGGCGGTAAGCAGGAGCACGGTCTCACTCGCAAAGTTGTGTTGTCTCCGGTAAGGATCGGAGACACCATTACTTTGAAGCTCGGACTTGAAACCTTGAAACCAGCGGATTTCTTTGCCAGTAGCTTTCCAGTAGCAATGTAAAACAATATTCCAACTTGCTTACATTCTCAAAATGGTACTAAAATTTCGTGGGCCACCTGTGCTGAACTCCGTTCCTCTTGTTAGAATATTACTATACGTGAGTAGAATACTATAGAATATTACTATAGAATATTACTATACACACTATACGTGTGTTGCCCACAGGTAGCATCAAGCATCAAGTTTTAGTCTCCTTCATGACAGTCGCAGATGGAGCTGAGCCTATACTGTTCTCCGCAGTAACGTCCACATTTTATGCTCTTGTTACAGAAAGCGAAAGTGGACTTTTCGCTAACCCTTTAAAAATTCTGCTGCAAAAGTTTAATGTCTGACGTACATTTTTTCCCCAGTGCCCACCTACTATTAGCAGGGAAGCCACTCCACCATAGCTCACTGCTTAAAAAGTGCTGCTCACTTTGACCTCGGAGGCTGTTTTCTTGAACCCATTTTCGATTTTCCTTTGCAAACATCCTCATTTTCAAACTATGTTACTTCACGCTGAAATGACTAAACGGTCCAAACTTAGCCAAAAAGGCTAAAATCTTGCTAAGTTAGAGAGAGCTTTGTTAACAGACTGATTGTGAGTAGTTCTAGCACTAGACCTGGTTACTTCAGCGGACGCCAAATAAATATTCCTCACATAAAGATTAGTTCCGATCGACAACAAACTTCATGGAGCTGCAAGTTTTCACTTCGATTTTGAGCTGTTTTGAGAAGTCTACGGTTAGCTGAGAAACATCTGCTGCATTATTGCCGACAGTGTCTTTCTCTAGAAATATTATCATAAGCAAGGATGATGGAATTGCTCTTTCAGTATTCGGTGTATACGCGAGCGTTTGGCGTCAAATGCAAAGAAGGTTTTATCCGAAGTTACTGCTGTTAACAGGTGCCTTTTAAGTCATTATTTGCTCTCCTTCCATAGTGGTCTCTTCTTCAGTTGTAGTGTTCTCTTCTTCAGCTGTAGTGGTCTCTTCTTTAGCTGTAGTGGTCTGCTCCTCCGCTGTGATTTCCGGCGTTGTGTCTACAAGAAAGACTATAGCTCAAACTATCAAACACTTCATTATTTTGCATCTAACTCAACCAACTCACCGGGAGGAGGCTCTTGCAAACAAAGTGGACCAATTTTGCCGTCATCATCGCTAGAGCATACAGCACCTTCGATGAGTTCTTTGCAAGAAGCGTCATCCGTACAGCCCTTATCGTCCTTGGAATCCGCCCAGTAAAGTGGCCCTCCTTCTACGGGTCTAAGTTTATACTATTATGATGCAGAACATTTTAGCCAAGTTTGTGTGGACTTTCTTCCAGAAGAGTTCATATATAGTTTTAACCTCCTGCATCTAGTCACTCATTCAGGTAAAACAAACAGTCACTGAATTTCAAGAAGCCTCGGTCGACCGAGAAAACGATGAAGAATTCAAAACTTATTTTTGCAGATATGACCAGGGTTGAGCAAGAGGTGTGGCACACAACCGTCGGACACGATCCCCCCCCCCCCCCGTTTTCGTTTGCCTGCCGCAGGCATGACATATAGACCTAGCATAGTTAGCAACATTTATGTGATTATCATCAGAGAAGCCCTGTGGGCCAATATTTGCGAATTCTGGGGTTTTCCAAAATTGGGCCACCCGAATGAAGTGCCGTTTTCAAACATGGTTAAAGGCACCGTCCACCCAGATTCTCGACTTCCAGGTTTATGCCGTTTCAGGGCCTTCTCATGTTCCTGATTCCGAATACGAGGTCGAGAATCCGCGAAAACCCCGACAATTCCCGTTCCGGAGGATCCATAGGCCGGCTTTTCGGAACGGTGATTGGATGGGCGCGCACAAATGGGCGGGCATGGATGGGGGTCCTCGTACATCTTCGCTATTCCGAAGCGATTTTCTCGCTTCCGAAGTGACATTTTGCGCCGCGACTTGGGCATTGGCTCGATAGGGGGCCCTACCATCATATGCTGCGAAAAGCTCAAAACTTTCAATCTAGGGTGGACGGTGCCTATAACTATATTTCAGAAGCGAATTAGCTTCATCTTCTGGTACTCAATACGAAGCACTACTCCCTATTAGCCTATACCATGAATTGTGGTGCAAATGACCATCAAACAATGGAATTAGGAACAGTCGAAATTTCGTTTGTCCAATTTTCCGCTTGCAGTGGTTGTGTTTCCAGCAACTATTGCTCAAACGAAAAAAAAACAATCTAGCTCTAATCACTCCTACAAAAACTGCGAGACTTTTGCTATCGAACTGTACCTAGTTTGTTTCCTAGAATTCTCTTTGAAGGTAAGTTGAAGGCACCGTCCACCCTAAGTTGAGCGTGTTGAAGTTTTGGCAGCATATAATTCTAGGGCCCCCTATCAATCCAGTGCCCAAGTCGCGGCGCAAAATGCAGCTTCGGAAGCGAGAAAATCGCTTCGGAATAGCGAAGATGCACGAGGACCCCCATCCATGCTCGCCCACCCCCATCCATGCCCGCCCATTTGTGCGCGCCCATCCAATCACCGTTCCGGAAAACCGGGCTGTGGGTTTTCCGGAACGAGGATTGTCGGGGTTTTCGAGCATTCTCGACTTCATATTCGGAATCAGGGACATGAGATGGCCTTGAACGACAAAAACGTGGAATTCGAAAAACTGGATTGACGGTGCCTTTAGTGAGGTGTGGCACAACCCCTAAAAAGCTGTGGTTGCCACACCTTTTTAGGAGATGTGCCACACCCCATTAACTTACCTCCAAAGAGAATTCTAGGAAACAAACTAGGTACAGTTTGATAGCAAAAATCTCGCAGTTTTTGTAGGAGTGATTAAAGCTGGGTTCGGTTTTTTTTCTTTCTTTTGAGCAATAGTTGCTAGAAACTTAGCCACTGCAAGCGAAAAATTGGACGAACGAAATCTGCGTTTTTATATCGTTGCTATTGCTCCACCTTCTTCTTTATGCAGTGAGAAAATCATTTGAAATCGTTTCTTCTAGGAAAAGATATAGTCGTTCTCCTTTACCTATGCAAATGGAAAATGCTGCGAAAATTTCGGGCTACGGGCTGACATGCTTAGTCTGCGCTACATGTATAGGCTGTATCAACCAGCATCGGTCCCGCATTGGCATGCCTTGCGAGGACGCACGGTCGCATACGACGTCACTTAACGCGTAGCAGTGTTCGCACGCGTCACACCGCACCGTCGCAAGTTGCCGCAGACGCGTCGTCGCACAACCGATGAGGGTTGGTACGGCCTATAGATCGCGAAAGAAGGGACAAGGATAAATATATCTGATAGACTAACTCTCATATTTACATAAAAGTGATTTGAGCCTGACTGGTCCTCTCTAATATGAGATATTAAAAGCGGAAAAAGGAACAGATGAGATTTGGTCTTGCTCGTAATTCCATAGTTTGAATGTTATCCAAAGTGGGAATCCTAATGTGAGCAAAGAAGTAGTAGGTTTGTATTAAGTGCAGAAGGAAATAGTTAACTACTTTTGAAACGAAGGTAACATGTTTGAAAATGACCATTTCTGGATGGATCAATATTTGGAATTTAATTCGCTAAATTTGACCCACAGGGGTTATTTGACATTCGAGTTACAAAATGATGCTCTTATGCTTATGGTGCTCTTTTATCAACCTTACTGTACGTATACGAGGGTAGCCCAAAACATCAATGTGCTAGTACTTTACACGGTGCCTATCTGACATTGTTAACGAATATCATTTTATCGCTAACATCAGCTCACCTCGATGACTCCCCCCCCCTCTCCTTCCCGAACCCCTTAATACGACCCCAGGTGTGGTATGCCACACCCCACGCTTGACCCCCTGGATATGCCGCCCAGTATGTAAGTCTAAGCTATAAAGTAGAGTGCATATGACCGAATTAACTATGGGAGACATCGCAGAAGACGAACTATCTCAGTCTGGGAACTCTTATCAAAGGATTCTGCTAATGAACAGTAGGGAAAGCCTTCTTAACAAAACGAATATTCGCTTTCTGCGAACTGCTCGGCACCATAAAGCAGAAAAATGTCATTTTCCAAAATGCCTTGCAATAGGCTGAAATTGATGTTTTTACCTAGAATTAAGGACGATATCCAGGCAAGCAATATTTCCATTTTTCGTAAAAAATTTTCTTTCAAAAACCTCTTACTTTGCACATGAAGTTAGGTTCACATGCATTTGAAGTTAGTTTCACACTCACCTCTTCTCATATACGCAGGCAAGAGCTACCTTGCCCTGGTTTTTGCAAAACAAGTAAGCACATCCAATCTTGAGCGTTTTGTTGTAAATCATCTAAAGGAGACATAAAAACCGATGAAATTGGGATATACTCGAAGGATGAAAAAGTTATTAGCTCCTTTGTCTAAATTCTTTTCCAAACTGAAAAATGTAAGGCTTACATTAGCAAATGGCTCCATAGATGTGTCAGTATACAGCACATCCGCGCTCAACGGATTTTTTACCGTAAGACTCCAGTCCTCCACAGCATTTTCGAAAAGTGTAGCCAACTGCGCCGGTTTTGGCTTAGTTTGCAACGGGTATCTAGATTTAGAGCCATTCTTGCACTACAGTGCTGATCTCTCTCAAAACCTACGTGATAAAGTTCTCGCCCCTTCCAATCTTGTCCATGTATATGTTTGAATGCTTACATTTGTTTCCGATGGTAGCAAGAGCGAGTCCTTCGTTAGTGCAGTCGTATTTCTACATATCCCAGAAATGTATAGGAGTAAGCTCATGTCAAGCACTTAATCGTACAGATTACTACTTACCAGCTTGAAAAGATTTTTTGATCCTGGTAAATCTCCATAAGTTGCCTTGTCCAACTGACGAGAAGCAACTTTTTCTCTGAGTAAATTGTGTTGTTCTAGGGCTGCCTCGCTAGCAGCAAGTCTGCAGGCTGCTGCAATTGAGAATTTTGAGTCGTTGTCTTAAAGACAGCGTCCAGGCAAATATGGACCTATGGAGATTTTACGTGGAAAGTAATTTTGGGGCCGTAACTAATTCACTGCCCAACCGGCAGCTTGGTTACTCTTCTAACGGCTGAGATATTTCCCTCAAAACTGGTCCCCAGGATCGTATTTCGCATGGATTCATGGCGCAACGCGTGGGTCCTCGCGCAAAACCGATGGGTTGCGCTATGAATCCATGCGAATACGATTGTGGGGTTTGGTTTCGAAGGGAATATCTCAGCCGTTAGAGCACTACCTGACCTGCCGGTTGGGCAGTGGCTAAGTCAGAGAGCCGAAATTACTATCTACGTAAATTCTCATATGTCCAGATTTGCCAGGACGCTACCTTTAAGTCCCTTGGAAGAAGACGCCCAAGACCAAATCATTCTACTCAGCTACTCTACCTGCAGCTTCCCCATCTCGAAGGAGTATAAAGAAGACCTGGAAGGTTTCTTCAAATAGTTTTATACTTCTTATAATATCTAAGGATTACCAACAGCAAGTACATTGTAGAAGTTTGACTGTTGTGCTTTTTGCCTGAAATGAATTTCTTCCAAATTTGTGGGAAAAAAATCTGCAAAAGTATTAGGTTGTCCGGAAAATAATGTCGCATGGCATCCCGCGACAGAATGGCCATAGAAAACAGCGAATGGGGTATCGTTTGATAGAGCAAAGCAAGCTTTACAAAACAGTTCAGGATTGCTTTGGCAAAAATATGCCATTTTCTCAATTTTCAGCCATGGAAAACCCGCGAAAATGTGCATACGAGTGTCTCGTATAGCGAGTCCATGCTTAAGCAAATTAGGGGTTTCCAGGACTTTTTTGAACGAAGGTACAATTTTTCTTCGTTTTTTAGATCCTTAGTGCCTTATGAAATTTGGCTCCAAACTTCACACAAAACAGGCCTGGAGCAAAGGTTCAAGCTTCATTATGTAGAGCTTGCTCTGGTCTATCGGTTGATACCTCACCTTACTTTCGCGTATACTCCGATGCGATATTGTGTTAAAACACAATGCGACATTATTTTCCGGACAACCTATTATAATACAATGTGTAATCAAGTGTCAAGCATGCGATATTTCTAAGGCTATCTCAACGACACCGTCCCTTAGTTTAGCGGCTTCTTACCGCGCAGCAGCTGCGCATCAGACTTGCGATGCCTTTACAAGTGCATCGCTCGTGCTTTTTGTCAACTCTTAATAGTTATATGACATGGGGCTTTTTCTCGTGCTTCTCTTTTTCTCATCTTTTTAAAACCTTTTCATTTCAGAAAGGCTTGTCACAAATGCCATCCCTCTTCACATAAAATTCTAGATGGGGATGTTTTGGCTGCTCGCGAGGAGTTGCGGCCAGATGTAAGGTCTACTGTCGGACGAAGACGCCGAACGTACGATGCAAACGCTTCGCGAACGGTTCTTTTACCAGTAGGGTGAATGATAGTTTCATAATGATTTGGTTGCTAGCTCGCCGCGTAGTGCTTTGAGTAAAGCTGCTATTGCTCCTTCTGCAGTAGGCTTTGTGTGATTATTGAAGTAGCTTCTTTTGGGGTCTACGCTGCAATGCTCTTTTGAAATTGAGGTGTCTTGTTGCCTGAATTCGCATGAGGGAAGACAAATGTGGAACTTTCTGAAGGCGACAACAAATCTATTGAGTTGTAGCACTTCTGTAAGACTAAGCACGAGCATTCCAATATACCTCTACAAACGCGGCGCAAGGCTCAATCTGACGGTCACGCTATTCTGAGGCAATTTTTCTAAGTGTCAAAAACAGTTTTTTGTTTCTAGAAGAGGAGAATCGAATAGCAAAACTCTCAGAAGATGAATAGGAAGAAAGAAGGAAAGGTGCCATGTTTACGAGACTAACCATTCTATACAGATCAGCTCAATATCGATATAATAACTGAAGATCATCTTCCATCTTCATAATTTATGGAGCTGATCTGAATATGAATGGTTAGTCTCGTAAACATGGCACCTTTCCTTCTTTCTTCCTATCCATAACATGGCACCTTATCATATATATTACAATATTATGATATTCATACTTCGCCAAAACTCGTAAGCGTTTTGTTTATTTCTTTGCCACCTTGGTCAAGCTTAATTAAATTCAAAGAGTTATATCATATACTAGCTGGCTTACCCGGCTCCGCCGTATGTTCCGAATAGAAAATTCCATTTCTTAACCGATCCGGACCAAACTTGGCACACATACCCTTCGGGCCCCGGCGGGTGTCATAGTCCACTTTTCGTTATCGATCGATGTCGATTTTATCGATTTTTTGCAAAATTTGAGCTACGGGGCTGGGAGTTGGCAGAGGGGTGTAATCGAGCATGCTGATTACGAATGCAATAATAAATTTCGAAACCGTGCATTACTTTTATCGATTTTATCGATTTCTTTGCAAAATTTGAGCTAGGGGGCTGGAATTTGGCAGAGGGGTGTAATACCCCCCTGTGCCAAATTCCAGCCCCCTAGCTCAAATTTTGCAAAGAAATCGATAAAATCGATAAAAGTAATGCACGATTTTAAAAACTAATATTGTATTCGGAATCCCCATGCTCGATTACCCCCTGTGCCAACTCCCGGCCCTGTAGCTCAAATTTTGCAAAAAATCGATAAAATCGATATCGATCGATGACGAAAAGTAGCCTATGACACCCGCCGGGGCCCGTAGTGTATGTGTGCCAAGTTTGGTCCGGATCGGTTCAGAAATGGAATTTTCTATTCGGAACATACGTACAGACAGACATACATACAGACAGACATACATACAGACAGACAAACAGACATTCAGCTTTATATATAAGATATTAGGTCGTTTCAAAAGTAATTTCGTTTTTTGAACTGGCACCACATTTGACGGAACAAAGCTTTCTAAGAGATCTTGGAGGCGTTCGATGCAGAATTTCATTCTCTTTCTCATTATAAAATTGTTGCAAAACAGTCAACCGAGCTTTCAGAAAATAACCAAAATCTGCGGACCATGCTTTTTGAGATGGTCAAGTTTCACGATTTTTTAAAACTTTCATATCCATCCTCAGAAGGAGTTCAAGTAACGCCTTTCTAGAGCAAGCCCTACAGAATGCAAAACTATTTTTTTCTCCTTTCCATAGCTTGTCCTACATTTTAAACAGATTTTTAAGTGATGCTACCGATTTCCATACTTGGGCAGCTAAATCCTCGTAGAACATCAAAAGAAGAGCAGCTCGCGCACTATTCGATGCAGCATTTTCTCCTCTTTCTAACAGTTGTTTTTTTGTTTCCGATTCGTTTAGTTTCCGGAAATAACATCATTATAACTCATTTTTTTAGCGAGCCCCAGGCTGTACCCGAAAAACTCGAAATTTGATATTTCGAATCCGCAAACTCTCATTTGCCTTATAAAATCAATACTAAGTCATAAATCATTTGAAAGCTTGAAATTCCAAGTAATTACTGATGTTTGATGCGATTGTGGTTTAGGTGAACATGTCAAAATCAGATGGTTCTGTTAAAAAATCTTTTAAAAAGTTACGGCGAGCTAAGAGAAAGAGAAAAAAGCAGTACTGTATTCTGCAAGGCTAACTCTATCGAATCTTTACTTGAACTCCTTCTGAGGATTGATATGAAAGTTTTAAAACATCGTGAAACTTGACCATCTCAAAAAGCATGGTCCGCAGATTTTGGTTATTTTCTGAAAGCTCGTTGACTGTTTTGCAAAAATTTTATAACCATGAGAAAGAGAATGAAATTCTGCATCGAACGCCTTCAAGATCTCTTGAAAGCTTTGTTCCGTCAAATGTGGCGCCCGTTTGAAAAAAGCGAAATTACTTTTGAAACGACCTAATATATAATGGCAAGGTTAATTAACAGTCGGATTTTGCCCGATATTCAATTATTGCAATTGACAAGCATTTTATAAAATTTGAAGCAGTGTCGGTTTTGTAGAAGAGAGGACACTAATATGAGTTGTTGGAAAGAAGTAAGCATTATCAATTCAATGGCTTTTTAATGTTAAGATTGAACGATTATTGGACAATAAAAGGAATCATTAAGCCGTGAATTTGAATGGCAAAAATTGTTGGCACCCATATGCAGTCAAAGAAGCTGCATTGTGCTAGGTGTTGGTTTTTCCTACCCCTCCTTCGAAAGGGTAGAGCTATGGCCATAGATACAACCACACAGTATGGAAGAAATATACAGGGTGTCTCAAAAGTACCTACATGCTGATTAACCCTTGATACATCTCTTCCCACATAGTCTTTTGCCGCCATTAGGGACCATTGCTGTAGGACTGCGGTAAGAATTGTTAGTATACAGCGCATTTGAGACAAACGTTCGAAAGAACAAAAGACTGCAAAACCGTGTAGCAAATTTTTCACGCATACTAATAGTGCTACACAATTTTTGACAATTAAAGCTCTTTAATAACGTAACGCATTTTTGAGAAACATTAGGAAAAACAGCTATTGCTGTAGCTACTACATAGTTTAACTTTTGAAAAAAGCTTAACTGTAAAGTGAGATTTTCTTACTTGAAGCCAGCTACTCTGAATAGCTTAGATAAAAGCTTTTGCATTGTTCTATTTTTGAAGCAAAATGTGATCATAATATTATGAGCAGCATATGCATCTGCTCAAAACCATCCTCAAAGTCCCTGCCACAATCGTACCTGAATAAAGAGCGATCTTGAATCGCTTCAAACTGTATTGGGGCATGACATCTACTTACAGAGAGAGGATACTTAGTCGAAAGCACCAATCCAGATGAGACATACATCATTTTGAAGCGCTTGAAACGCTGATTCTCTGTAATTTCTAATAGCGGAGCGGTATTGTAGAAGGGGTTATAAGGGGTGTTTTTCTCTGGGGTTGAGGCGGCCTCCAACAAGTCTCCCCTTATCTATGAGCACTGTAGAGGAGTACCAGATGGTGGCAACTGGCATAGTAGTAAGTAATTTGATGAAGATTACAATAAGGATTATAATACTCATATTACTTTGGTTTTACCAACATTTCCAACTACGATTAGCATTGATATCATCAGAAATTTCAGGTTTTGAGGCTCCAAAACCATTTAGAAGCCCAATTTTGCAAGAGTTGCGATGGAAAACCTTGACACTTTCCTTATCAAGCAAGTTACTTATCACTCGGCCAGTTGTAACCAGTTGGTAATCCTCTACGGTGCTCATAGATAGGCAGACCTGCTGGAGAACGCCTCAATCCCAGAGGGAAACAATCCTCATAACTCCTCCTACAAAATGGCTCCGGTGCTAAAATCTGTAGATTTGAATCAGCGTTTCAAACGCTGATTGATGATGTATGTCTCATCTGGATTGGTGCTTTCGACTAAGTATCCTTTCCTTGTTATATTTACTCTCTTAATACAACATATATTCATATCAGCTTGCAACCTGAGTCCAAATATGTTTTCCATAGCTGCGAAACGTTATTCAGAGCATAGTTTACGGGCTTTCTCTGGCGCGAATTCATCATTCGACTTGCTGGATATTTTGCCACCTCTGCTCACCGTGCTTGCAAAGAAACTAGAGACAAGTTGAA